ATATTTAGGTTGCATCTTAAATATTTAGGTTGCATCTTACAACCTTAGGTTGCATCTTAAATATTTAGGTTGCATCTTAAATATTTAGGTTGCATCTTAAATGTTTAGGTTGCAACTTAAATGTTTAGGTTGCAACTTAAATGTTTAGGTTGCATCTTAAATGTTTAGGTTGCATCTTAAATGTTTAGGTTGCAACTTAAATGTTTAGGTTGCAACTTAAATGTTTAGGTTGCAACTTAAATGTTTAGGTTGCAACCTAAATGTTTAGGTTGCATCTTAAATGTTTAGGTTACTAGCTGGTTGGTGCACCGTTGAACTTGATCACTGTGTCATGAGAATCTGCAGTTTAAAACAAAGAGTTTAGAAGAAGAAAACGTTCAGAGTAACTGATGAGACACATTTTCACTTTCTACGTCTGCTGGTGACAAAAAGCTTTGAAACCATGTAAACCTGTCATTTCAGGAGGGGCTTAATGTTGAATCAGCATGTAGGAGTTTTATTTGACCAAAAACAAATAGAGCTATGTCTCTGTTTTGGATTGAAAACAAGTGGAAGCTGACTCTGGATTCAGCTCCAGAGAAATGAGCTGAATCCYTCTAAAACACAAACTGGATTCAGTTCAGAGCTGTTGCTGGAGTCGATGATGTCATCACAAAGATTGTGTCCTTGTGACCAATTTGCTTTTCACCTATCATAATTTGATTCTCACGTAAAAGATTAGTTTAGACCTTGTCACAAAGAAATTGACAGAATCGATGCTGTGCGAGCCTAAAACTCTTTCAGACCTCCTGACCTTCAGAAAGTCTGGAGAACTTTGGATGACCAGTTTGAAAGGAGGCAAGAAACTTTGTCTGCTCTTAAGCAGAATATAAATAAACCAGAGCCAGATCAAAACTTTTACTCTAATAATAACCTTTATTAGATCAGACAAAACTTACTGAGATCACAGATCTTTTTCATGACAGATGGAGGCCTTTTAAGAACTGACATCTCAACAAGATGTAGAAAACCTCTTCTGTGACTTTTGATTTTTTTTTTGACAACTTGACTAATATAACTATTTACTGGTTTTAGTTAAAAAAAATCAAAATAAAAATCAGGCATCTGATGCAGAACGCTGTGGCGTTGATCACATCAGTCCAGATCTGAGGTCTTTGCACCGACTTCCTGTTCCTCTGAGAACTGATTTTAAAATATTTTTGCTAGTTTAAATAGTTCCACACCTCTGCTGTTCTGCTGCAGAGGACCACTCTGAGGTGGATTGGTCCTCTGCTGCCCTCTGCTGGACTTTTGATAGACTTCAAGTCGGTTTTACAGTTCATATGTAAGGAAGGAAGTGAAGTCATGAATAAATGAAGTAATTTTTCACTTCATTTGACACGTTAACCTGCACGTTTTTCAGACGGCACACTCTGAGGCCTTTACTAAAACATACTTATTTTTAAATACTAAATCAATTCTCCTTCATGGTTTAACTTTGACATTRTTAATCATCTATAAACCACTGGTCCTACATTAAAGCAGCCTCATTACTTTAATTCAAACAGCTCAGTGTGACTTATGGTTCAGTTTTATTMTGTAACTTTATATGTTAAAAAAAAGCAGATTGTAAATGTTCTTGGACCAGTTCYTGTCAGGTTTGCATCATCATCAGTCTCTCTGCTCCTCCTGAAGACAGAAAGTGGAAATGGATGTGAAACTTTGGAATTTCTCCTTTAAGGTGAGTGGACATTTTCAGTTTTAGTGCATTCTACGCAAAAATGTCCCTTTCAGGAAATATCTGCTGTTTTTTTTTTTTCTGTTTTGTTCTTTTCATGTTCAAATAAAGGCTGCTTTCTGTTTTAGCTGCAGTTTGATCCTTTTCTTTCTTCAAGCTGCCKCAGCTCGTCTTCAGCATCTCTGCTGCCGTTTCTGAAACTTCCTGATATTTTGTAAGATTATGTCCCAACCACATGTTGCAGCAACTGGGCCAAAGTTAGCAGCAAGAAACTGTGACTTTGAGCTGCCAGGGATGAAGTAATATTCCCGTCCCTGATAAAAGTTAAAAAATATAAGAATAAAAATTTGATATTAAAATATATTAGGCCACGTTTAGATTCTTACTATAAAAATTCAGGTTTGTTTATTCATCCAAGGTTCTGAGTCAAAGAACTGTCAGCAGACTGCAGGTCACTGATTGGCCAGAGAGCAACGTCAATCACAAGAATCAAACTCACCTCTTTAAAACCTTGAAACTGCATCGCTTGTTTCTGTTTTTTACTTTTAATTTATATAACATCCACTGAGGAGGTGCAGACAGTTTACTGATGACAGGCGTCAGATTCAAAAACAGAAAAATGGATTTATTTTGAAGTCATGAACCAGGCAGGTGGATGTGAAGAACCAAAAGGTTGGATGGATGAATGAATGAATGAATGAATGAATGAATGAATGAATGAATGAATGAATGAATGAATGGCCAACAAAGTTCATCCTCTCTTGTTTGGATAAAAAAGGAAAATAAATAAAAGCAAACCAATATTTCATATTTGTTTTAATATATGGCAACCTCCCATGTTCCTGTTTCAACTTCCTGGTTCTCTTATRGAGCAGTGGTTCCCAAACYTTTCAGCTTTTGACCCACAAAATACCAGCACCAGAGACCCGTGCCCCCAGCTGTCACCGGATGATAAAAAATGTTTTCATGTCCARTAAACAAGAGCATAGTAACAATATTTATTAGGCTACTTATGTCCATTTTAAGTACACTAATCTTATTATTGTGTAACAACAGAGGCAAAAATGTTTTTGGTTGTCAGTTTTTAGTGTAATTAATTCAAAAAAATCTTTTCAGGACCCCACCTTGATGTTTCAGGACCCCACC